AAAAAAAAAAACTGGGTAGAATCAGGGTAAGTGAATTCAGGGTAAAATTGGGAGAGTGGAGTGAGAAGGGATTGCCAGTGAAGAGAGACGAGGGCTTCCAGAGGCCAAGAGGGGGAGTAAGGGGATTTTGTTCCATATGGACATTCAAAGCTAGCTGGCTAGACAGACACTGGACCTCTCTTCCAGTCTATGCTGGATGTCCCAAGGGAAGACCTTGCCACATGGCCAAGGGAGGACTCCAAGGGCAGACAGCATCAGAGCACAATGCCTAGGCTCTTCAAGGTCCAGGACAGTTGTGAGAATCCCAGCCCACCCTGAAAAAGTTTGAAGAAGGAGCCGGAGGGTGGAGAGACCCAGACACTTGTGAGGGGGCAGCTGGAAGGGGGCCCAGATAGAAGGAGGTCTTTATTATTCAAGATGGCAGAGCACATAACATGGGGGGCTGGAGTCACTAACTGGAAATACAGAGGGGGATAAGAGGTGGAGGGGTCCCTGAGGAGTTAAGGAGACTCAGGAGGAGGGGCTCTTCCTCCCTAGGGGGAGAGCATGGCCATGAAGAAGGAGGCAGAGGGTTCCCACTTCTCCAGAAGCTTTCTGCTGAAGGAAGGAAGGGGTTCCTAGGAGATCTAGGTTTGAAATAAATATTGGGAGTTGGGGAAAAGTTTGGGTGGGCTACCAGGTCTTGAGGTCCCACCCTCTTGGGGATGACAATCTCCCGAACCTGGCCAGGGGGCACCCTGTGAGGCTTCCTGGAGGCTCCGGTGGGGGCTCTGGCTCAGTAGTGAGGTATAAGCTCCTGCTTTCCTCCCGTACACTTTGGTGGATAGCAGCAGGACCCAGGGTCTGACTTAACGCCTCCCCCGGAGGAAGAACTGTTCCCTCTTGGGGGACCCTGAGACCTGGTCTGATGACCCCACCTCCGAACAGGAGGGGCAGCATTGGCAGAGAAGGGGGAAGGGAGAAGTGTCTCTGTCTCTGTTCCCACTTCTGCCCTGCTTGGACATACAAATTAAGGCGGAGGTGGGGTGGGGGTGAGATTCTACTGGGCAGGGACAGGGAGGGCTCCTGACATTTACCAGGGTGCGGGCACAGCTGTTTGCGCCCCAAAGCTAGATGGCAAAGTACACATTGCGGATGAAAAGGGTCGCATGTGGGGCGTAGGAACCAGGCGAATTTTATTGACCAGGTGCCCAAGCCTAGCCTGAACTGCATGTCCTGGAGCGACTAAAGATCAGGTGCGGGACTCCGCGGATATGGGGCTGCGTTCAAGACGAGTCGAGAGAATCACGGCTGAGCCAGAGACTCTCCAAAAGCTCTAGAAAAAAAACAGAGTAGGACCGTGGGGAGAAGGCTGTGCGCCCTCCACTATCCACCCACCCCCAGGCTGGAAGGGTACAACGTGCTCCAAGAAACCCTTTCTCCCTGTGGAGTGGGGTGCGTACAGATCCGAGGGTGCTTGGTGGGCACGCGGACGGGCTCTCCAGGCTCAGATCTCCCGAGACCCCCGATCCAGCTGCCGTCCCAGCCACACTTCCTCTCCCCACATACCTAGCCTGCTCTGCTAAGATCCAGGAACAGGCGCCCAGCCACGCGTCCGGTTCAGGCGCGGGTTCCCAGGCGCGCAGACTCCGGAGCGCATTGGCTGGGAGCCCTGCGCGGAGGCTGCTGCATCGCGCCTTCCCCTAGTTCCTGAACCCCGGAGGGAGGCAGGACAGCACCGCGGGCCGCAGGCCAAGGAAGAGGGTATCTCTGGAAGAAAGCCAGGGTGGGCGGTACGTCCAGGCCGAGGGTATCCCAGGCAGGGGGCCCAGTATTGGGGCTCGGGCCGCGGCGACACACGAAGGGCGAGAGGCGCAGCCCCATGAGCAGGCACGGGGCGTGGCCCACTGTGTGGCAGCTGGGACTTGCTACGTGCTTGTTATCAGGCGCCTGTGGGCAGAGGCGGCAGCAGCAGCTGCAGTGCGAGCAGCGGCCGGCTAACAGGAGCCTCCCGACCCTTGCCCGGCGCCAGGATGCTCACGTCGATGGCCGCTCCGTATGGAGGGCCAGGTGCTGGCTCAGCTAAGTCTGGGCAGGCGGTAGAACTGGTGGCTCTGGGAGCCGCAGCGCGGGAAGCTACAGGCGATTATTTAGTGACCGGTGGATCCAATTATAACTGCTGGATGGCCCCGGCCCTGCTTGCCTCTGCAGTACCCTCTGGGCTCCCAAGGGTAGGGAGAGGGATGGAGAAGAGGAGCCCAGGGTGCTGTGTCAGGGACGTGGGTTATTGGAGCACCCTACCTGAGTGAGCCTTTAGCTAGAACTCAGCTTGATGTTCCCTTGGGGGCTCTCCTCCTCCCTGCAAGGAGAGGAACTGCCAGGGCACAGGGGCAAAGAAATGCCCCTTAGCCAGAGCTTTTGCAGGTGGAGTACCAGCAAAGCAAATACAAGGAGTCTGGCAGAGCCCTGACAGGTAAAGCAGAGCTGATTTTGGGGTCCCTCTGCACTATTTCAAGACCCTTCTGTTATCTCATCCTTGGGGGACTATTCCTTGTCCTCACCTAACACAGCTCTCAAATCCCC